CCTGCCATCTGTGAAAAATGAACATTTCAACAGCACAAATTCTGCTCTGGGTATAGAAGCTGGTGATTGCTGAAGCAAAGAAAATAGAAAGAATAACAATGCAGGGAACAGAGCTCAGACCATGAATGATCAGGATGAAGTGCAGAGCTCTCTGTGTTCGGCACAGTTCTGCATGACGGAGGGGAACGCAAATGGCCACGTAACGCTCCAGGGTCATTGCTGTCAGAGTAACTGGTGTGACAAATGTGTACACAGACAAAACAATATATATAATAACACACAACCACACTTGTATGGTGAAACTAAAATAACTCAAAATGAGCAAGACATTAGTTATTAGCAAAAAAAGTGAATCAGACAACAGTGCAATGGCAAATAAGATGTAACGCATAGTTGTGTAAAAAATATCCTTCATAAAAAATGTTGTGATTAGCAAAAGGTTGATGCAAAGAAACATCAAGATAAGTAACTGGACTATTATGACCTGATTATTGATGTTGTTTATTGCCAGTTGACCACCAATTACTGAGTTATTTAATGCCATATATTTTTTAGTTTTAGGCAAATAGTTTTAAATCTTCATATATGGGGAGATCTTAAGAACTTACTTACATATATGAATGCATGTCTGGTTTCTAGATTCTAAAATAAAATCTCACACAAAGTATCTGATCCAAAGTTAAAATAAATTCAAATTTAACAGCCTCACAGTAAAAATAAGTGGAATATATATTGAGTTAAACATTCACAGTGCATGTTGATATGACATGACATATATCTATAATACCTAAAGATAACAAGTCACAAGACATCAGAGAGTCAGTTTACCAATGCATCCCTGCGGTAAATAGAACATGTCTGAGGTATGTGCTGTCATAATCTGATTTTTATAGCTGAAACGGTAACACAAGAGGGAATATCACGAAAGGAAGATGTCACCAAAGGAAAAGCATTTGGGAAACATTTTGTACAACAGATCGATTCAAGTACTAAAATATAAAACTACTGCACATATCAGGTGTCCAGGTTTGACCATCAACTCTTATCTGTCAACACAAATTATTATTATTGTTGTTTGGCAACACAACACCTCACACATAAAATTGAAGAGAACAATGCTACCTGAATGTGCAAATCATTTCTTTTGTGTGTCCTGTGTGAATCCATTCTTCGAATAGATTTAGTCAAAAATAATTTACTTCTTAAATTGTTCAGCACCTGACTGCAGCGGCTTTTAATTAAATTTAGTCCAAATAATTTCCTCAATGAATAGTTAATTCTCTGATTTACTTAACGCTAACCTATCAGTCACAAAAGTAACTAATGGAGCGTAAGATTGATAACATTGTGGAGAAGCTCACGGCTCTCCAACAAGAGATCAAGAGACCAGTGTCAGACTGCTAGAACTGCTTTGAAATTCATATGAGTTGTTTGCACTAAAGTAAAAACCACCATCATTTCATGCGGCTACCACTTTGGCGTCAGCTGTGGTCTCAAGGCTGGAGCTGAACAAAAACA